TAAATAAATAGCAGAAAGTCAGTATTGTCTTCTAACATTCTGGAGTCAACACCTCAGAAGGCCTAACTGTTGAAAACAGTTGCTGAGGATTTTGTTGGGCCTTAGTGTCACTGTCCTATACTCCAAGGGACAGAGTTGAGATCTAAAGTAGAAAAGCTGAAGCATTTAGGGGTACATATCACTGAATTTGATGCATCTCCCTAAGTTAAATCCCCAGTTCTTAATATAAGTGTGTTTTCTTGTCATTTGGTCTCATTCACCATACAAACCCAGGTCAAAGATTCCTTCATAGGTGAGCCTTTCTTGCTTTCTTCTCCCTGATCCTCCTTTCTACCCTCAATCACATGGCATATCCTATCATACAATGATGTATCAGTTTGCAGGATTCTATGGTTTAGCTCCTAAAGTACAATGCCTGTACTTCCAATATGCAGTACAAGACATCATACAGGGTAAATTTTTTTAAAATGTTTATTGAACTAAATTAGTCTTGTCAGCTAATTATGAAGCAGCAGAAGAAATTTTGCCTAAATAAGGGCCTGAGTGAGTTATATCTGAATCAATGGATCATGGACTTTCAGGGCTGAAAGGAGCCCTAAAGGTCATCTTGCCCAACACATCTTCCAATGCTTTAAATTCATTTACAACATCCTATTTAAACAATTAATGATGAGGAGCTTACGGCTTCTAGGATTAGTTTATTTCATCACCAGTAAACTCAGTTTAAAAGTCATACCTTACCTATATAGAAAGTACTTGAAAAAAAAACGTTATACCTCAGGTTAGCAAAAACTTATTTTCCTTTAGCTTCCACCTAGAGCAAATCTATTAATACCTTCTTTCATATAACAACCGTCCAAATGTTTCAAGACATTAATGTTCCTTGAAACTTTTCTTCTTCAGGAAACACATTCCTAGTCTTCCATATATGGTTCACTAGTGTGGTTCCAATGTCTGTCTCCATTCTTCAGTAGACTGACCACTGAAGAGTCAGGCAGGACTATTGCACCTCCCTTCCTTGTCCTGTCTTATATTTACACCAGTTTACAAAGTTTGCAGCACAGTCACTATGAGATGGCTTCAGCATATTGTGAACAGAATCTCCTAAATCTTTTATACAACCTGTTGCTAAGTTGAGCTCCTCCACCCCCTACTTAAGGCCATGTAATTTGACTTTTAGCATTGGTTTTATTTATATAGTAAGAAGCCACAATTAAGAGGCTATTTTTATGAGTAGCATGCAGAATGTTTTATACTATTATGGAAATAACTAAAATAATCAGAAAGTTTAATATGCAAGATTTTAATATATGCACAAAATGCTTTTAAGCTTTGGTTTCTTTCCCTAAACACTCTATCAAAAACTAAAATTGTGTCCTGCTTTACAAGACACAATAAGTTAAAAGAGACAAGTTAGCATAACTAAATTATAGCAAAAGTATATTCAATATTAAATAAAGTCACATATTATACTACATTTTAATAGAATCAGAAACTTAAATAAAAGAAAATTATAGCACATGGGAAACAATAAGGTTTTCACATTTTAGTTACAGAAGCATGGTATTTAGCACTTCAACATGAGAATCATGGTATTTATAAATGCTAGGAAATTACAAAAATTCTTTTTTAAATACTTTCAAATCCACTGGTTTGCTTTAAAAGTACATAACTTATGGTATAAAGATACATAAGTAATGTAGTAAGAGATGGTAGGCATTATGAAAATGGACAAATCAATGAATAAATATCACAGTCTATGATTCTAAAAAACAAAAATACAAAGCAAAAATGGAATGAGGTAGAGTGGAATAAAATCTAAGAGGAAGTACATTAATTAAATTATGAGTTCCTCAAGCTACTAAAGACTTGTCAACTTTGAAAACTTACCCAGACAATGTGAAAAATTAAACTTACCTTTTCTTCATGTCGGTCATATTATATATAGAAAAATTTTCAGTCAACTTTGAATAAGTTACTATCCAATTAACATGTGAATTAGTAAAATGTTACAATGAAAAAACGCTAGCATTTATTTTCTTCCAAATTCGGTATCTGGTATCAGCATCAATAAAAAAAGCAATTAAGAAGAGAAGACTTGAAGTAGAGACAGAAATGAAAATTACTGCACAAAAATAAAAAGTAAGATGAGAAAATGATAGAGAAATATTAGTTATATATTATTCACTTTTGGAAATATACTACAATTGAGTCATAATCATATTTCTATCTGGAGATGGAATACCAGTGTTAGAAAGATAAGAGACACAGCCATAAGAAACCAAAAAAACTTTGGCAATAATGTGCAAAGGAACAAAGTTTGAGTAGTAGCAATGACGCTGAAAAAGTAACATGCATGTTTGAGGTATATATTTCATTTTTCCCAACAGGAAAGACTTTGGCATCACAAATGGTTTGGTTTTCTCAGAGGGCAAAAGCATACAATACTAGAAATGACTGAAGAAATAAGAAATTCTGGGAGATGTGTGACGCTAATGGTAAAAACTATAATGTTCATAGTTTTGCTAATGTAACGTATTTTAGCAATTTTTACACCAACAAAACTCATATCAATAAGAATACCTACATCAGTAAACAAGTATACATTCCCAACATTGACATGAGACACTAGAAACTAAAGAATTACTTCTAGATAAATGCTACATAACTTTCATTGAAATTTTCCTCAATTTTCTAACCAGGTGAAAAGTAAAAATGATAATGAGATGTTGAATTAAGTATCTAAGATACAAAAATATCATTAGAATGACTCTGCTAAGTTAGTACAACTATTCGTATCTCAGTTCACAATACAGTGTGTTCAAACCAAGTTAAACGGCATTTTATTTCATTGTCAATGTCAAATGGGTAGTTTATATAACCAAACAACTGTTTAATGTCGCAGTGACCTACCACAGAAAGACAGCCCCAAGATTGTATTCTACAATTTGAGGCTTGAAAAACTATTAAAATAGGTGCTAACAATTTCATTTTTGCTTATAGTACTTACTGCTGTCTCTCCATTCATTTTCTAAGAATTCAGAAAATAATTTCATCACATTTGCCCTGTTTCACGTCAATAATAAATAATAAATTATGTCAATGTATGTGTGATTAAAAAAAACTCATTCTGTACAATGACTTCCATCGGTATCACTCTAAGTTTCTTTTTGTTTTGATTCTAACACTTTAATGTTTTACAGGCATTACATTTTATTGCATTTGATAGAATACTACTTTCTGTATGGTACAATTTCCTATAAAAATGTAATACTATAAAGAGGATTTAACAAAAAATATGGTATAATGTTCTTCTATGGGTTTTCATCTACATAGTAAATGAGTTTGCTGTACTGGAAATTTGGCTGTAAGTATAGTTTTTGCCTTTTAAGAATTTTGCTGAGAGACATCAACTTGGCCTGTCCTCATTTATGCCAGCTTTCTTTTCTATTCTTTCCATACACAGCTGCAGAATACAGACAACATATAAATAAGACATATTTAGAAAGTAAACTTCAAATTTCTCAGAGACTTACAGCAACTCATCTAAAATGAATCTTTTCAATTTAGATACGATAGGCCTTTTAAAATAGTAAATCTTAGCACTAAATAAAGCTCAGTAATAATGCTTCCCATCATCTATCTCCTCAATCTGTCTACTGTTTTGATGACCTAAATCTGTTTACCTAGTGCAAAGGACTATGGGAAAGAGGCTGGAGTCTTTCTTATCATTAGCTTCAAAACAATTAGGAGAAAAGGAAGTCTTTACCACTTTATTTTTCCAACCTGACACAATTTTATTCTTCTAAATAGCTACCACAACTGAAGTAAATACAACACTGTATATATAGAGAAGACGACTCAGGCAATGTGGACAACTTCCCACAATGTGGGAAAGACATCAGCAAGAAGCTGCACTTGAGATTGGTACAGTATATGTCTACAGAGTGAAAAAAGAGAAAAGAGATTCCAGGTAGAGAAGAAAGAGATGAAAGGATATTTTGTGCTAAGAAACAACAAATGTTAAATAACTCAGAAGGGTAGCAGAAAATTATGTTGTAAATATAAATATAGGAGTTGTATGTCATGCTAAGAAATTTGAACTTCATTGTATAAACAAGTTAAAATATAATTACAAAAATAAATAGTGAAATTTCATTGAGCATTTACTATGTGCCAATTATAGGAACAAGTGATAATCCTATTAAATTCTTAAAACCACATTATGAGCTAGACACTACTGTTACGTTTCAATCACTAAAATGAAAAAACTGAGGAGCAAACAACTAATTCATTTGCTTCTGGTAGAAAAATCCTAATTTTTGCCAATGAGAATCCAGAGTTTGGGTTCTTAAACACTTCAACAAGCTGCCATTCTAAGAAATTATATTTGTATAATATGTGAATGTAAAAAGTCTGACACTGCCTTATTATAATTACTTAGGAATGTTTAACTGTGTAAATTTAATTTTAGTTTGAAATCCAATAAACACAGTAAGAGTATCTTGGAAGTATTGGAAATGTGCCATTAAACATTCTTTTGTACTGTAGTTCCTTTGCTTTCTTACTGACACTCCATAGCATTTTTCTTTACCTTTTATGATTCTATTTCTTTGTAAGTGCTTCAGATATAATCAGTAAATAGTTTGAGAGTTTCTCTACTTAGATTTATATGTATCAAAAACTTCTGTAGCAATGGAAGCACTCTAAGAGTCCATCAAAAGATGAATGGATAAAGATGTGTATCTATATAATGGAACACTATTCAGCTGTAAAAAAGAATGAAACTTTGCTATCTGCAGCAAGATGGATGAATTTTGAGGGTATTATGCTAAATGAATTTAGTCAGATAGAGAAAGGCAAATACTGTATGATATCACCTACATGTAGAATCTGAAAAATATAACAAACTAGTGAATAAAACAATAAAGAAGCAGACTTACAGATATAGAGAACAAACTAGTGGGGAGAGGGAAGGCGGAGGGGTAATAAAGGGGTAGGGGGAAAAAAGGGTGATTATGGGATTATATGGAACCATGTGAATGAAACTTTTGAAAACTGTAAAGCACTATAGAATTTAAAGTGTCTTTCATTCAATTTAAAAATAGTATTAAAAAAATTCCACAGTATATCAACTTTGGTATGGTCAACTCAAATTTACGTCTAAAATAAAATGATAAAGATTTACCCACGGTCTGGCTTTTAAGGTGCTGGAGTCCATGATCTAAAACAAATAAATAGAAAAGGTTTTGGAATCTGACTCAGCTGGGTTAAAATCCCAGCTCTGCTACTTACTTAATCTACGACTCTGTCTTTGGGAGATTACTTATTTGATGCCCACTTTCTTATTTCTAAACTGCAAATAATAATACTTAGATTGTATGTTTCTGGTAAAAATTATAAGATGAAATACTAAAATGCTAATGTATTGCCAGATATGATAATTTCAAAAAATGGTACTGCCAATATTATTCTTAGTGTTGCTCTTACTCTTGTTATCACTAAGAGTTTGCCAGCCCAGTCCTCTCCCAAAGTCACCTATCCTAATAACTTTGATCATTGATTTTAACTCACTGCCAGATTTTCCATGTTAATGTACAAAATCAGTTGTCACCATTATTGTTTTAAACTCATCCTGTACTTTAGTTCTTCCACCTCTATTATCCAGTACAAGAACTGACCGTGGTACAGATATCACCTGCAAACAACCCCTAGGAGTATGGTCTTCAGGGATGGCTTCATATCTACTTTCCTTAGCATACTGATGAATTTGAAGCAAAAGTTCTTGAGACTTAAGGTAGAGGGTTTTCTTCCAACTATTCTAATATAAAAATAATATATTTTAAAAATGCCATGTTATTCCAGTTGAATATAATTGGCTGACTTTTTTTGGCCAAGGCTGACATATTTTAGAATATTTGATACTATACCGTGTTTTCTCTAAAAAAACTTTTCAGATAGGGTTAACATTTTTCAGTAAAATTGTGAAATGGAAGTTTCCCAGAGATCACATCAGATGTTGCTGACATACAGGCTTGAAAGAAGAAAAGGAAAATATTGTCTGCTTTGCTTCCCTACCAAAAATTTGAGTCCTATTATGTCCCTCAGAGTCTGGGTTTTAAATAAACATCTGGATTAACAAATGGAAAAAAAAACATGTTAGTATAATTATGACCCTTTCCTTTCTGATTCAAAATATTTTCTTATCAAAAACATTTTTTTATTTGTTGTCATTACTAGCCATATGTAAAAGCATTTTTCTTTAAGGTTTGATTCTTGGATAAATTTATGCATAATTGACATATAAACATATTAAATTTTTTCATGTTAGTTTTTCTTGTAATATAAAAGGTGTGTGCATGAATTCATATATATGTATCCACACACATATATACATATTTACATAAAATACACTTTTTAAAATCCAAGGTTATTTTTAATTTCCTTTTAACTTATCCTAAATTTCACTTATTTCTTTGTTTCAACATAGTCTCAATCATGTACCTTCTATCATCTTTCTAGTTAATTATACCTATCATTACTGTAACCATCTTAAACCTGCAAAATAAACTCTCAAAACTGCCCTCATAGATTTTGAGAAGCAATGAATTCTTCTAAATGTCAGCCATCAGTTTGTGTCTGTATTTAAAATATTTCACCTGATAATCACTGAAATTTCAATTCTTACTTTGGATCACCTGCATTTAGTTGTAATATAGCACTATTCATAAAAAAAAGGTAATGTTCCACACTTTATATTCAAAGGAGCCAATAGCTCTCCAAATCAATGGCACCTCTCAAAAGCGAACACCTAAATTTCAAATAAGAATTCAACCAATACAGTAATGCACAGAGGTTATGTTTCCTGTGTAAGGCTATGAAGATGGCCATCAGAAGGAGCCCTCTATGGTAGTATTCATTACTTAAGCAAATTTGCTCTGGCCAAAGTTCTGCCCCGCAGTACTGCAGATACATAAACCTGATTTTGTCAGCACAGATATAGTGCATTCATGTCTCAGGACCAGATATTGACCAAGCTCACGAAACTGATGTATCAAAACAGAAAGTCAATTGTTCTGCAGATAGAGTGCAATGGGTTCCTTACCCTCCTTCTGGCTATTACTCTTTGTTGTTTGTTTTCCACTTTTAATCAAATGACCCCTTCTACCTTACTACAAGTGCAATTTTTTTCCACATCACAGTCCACTAACTGTAAGGAAATGGTAAGAGGAATTAGAGCATCCCCCAATTTTATTGCCTAACCCCATTTAGAACGTTGTCAGTTTAGGAGTAGAATTTCTCTACAACTTTTTTCCATGTGCCCAATTCTTCTTTAACAGAACGGAAAGGAGACAAACCCTCTAAATTAAAAACAACAATAACAACAACAACAACAACAACAACAACAAAAACAGGAGCAATAAAACAAACTACTTCTATAAAGTTCCCAATCCTTAATATTTAATGTCTGTCTAAATCTTCACTGGGTTTACATTCGTCATTGAACACATAATCCCTCCTTTCTTGTGTGATAGTTTTCCCAAGTGCTTAAATGCACTTTTATTTAAGTTTTCCTGATTCTATTAAAATGTAAGGTAGTGTGCGACTTTATTAGGACATTACATATATTGAATACGTTTTGTTAAAATTTAGTTATGTCAATTTGTCTCTTCATTAACTTATTGTGTCTTATAAAGCAGGACATACTTTTAATTTTTGATAGTGCTTAGGAAAAGAAACTAAAACTTAAAAAGCATTTAGTTCATATGTTAAAGTCTTGTATATTGAACTTTGATCATTTTAGCTATTTTCATAATAGCATAAAATATATTCTGCATGCTTCTTCTAAAAAAATAGACTCTAAATTGTGACTTCTCATTATACAAATAAAGTCAATATTGAGAAAATCTCTAATTTCCTATTCATTAAAATGGAAGATATATTATAAAAAAAGAATAATTTTAAATGCATTTCTTATATATACTGCCCAATTTGAACAAGAAATTCAAAGACACTTCATGTGTTCAGTTGCATTCAAGCCTAGCACCTAAAATGGGATTTCCACACAGTATATTGTAATATCTAATTGTTATTTTGTAATAAAAAGTTGTCACAAAGCCTGAAATACTCAAATCCATGTAAATTGTGTATTTTTTTTGGACTACAAGGAGAACTACAAGGAGAGGCTAGATAGAAATGTTCTTACTTTACAAGGAATCAAAAAAGTCAGGTGACTCAAGTGTTCAGTGACAAGCAAGCTAGGAGAGCCTCTCAACATCCATCTCATACTTAAGGCAGAGTTATGAACAGGAGGAGGATGGAAGAGAAGTGGGAATGGGGGTTGGGGAGGAAGAATGCACATGAGCAGAGTCTTCACATTATTGGTTAAGACTCTATCCAAAAGACACGGATGGGTACCGCTAAAGTTTATCCCAGTTACTCTCCTTTATCTAAGGTTCTGTCACTGACCAACTCTCCTCATGAACATCTACATCCTTCACCATCTGTGTTAATATATGTACTCAGGTAACAAGTCACATAGGCCTGGAAATTATTCTTTCTCTTTCCAATTACCTTCACTTTTCTGCTCTGCTCTATTGTTCATTTCATTGTTAATCTCTCATAGATTATACTTACTTCAAAAATTCTGAGTAAGACCCAACTATAATCCTAAGTAACAATATTTATGTTCATATACTAAATATTTCTCATACAACAGTTTTATTAGTCCTTTATTATATAAATTTATATAACATACAGGATCTCTTTAAATCTAGTCATATTGGAAGAAAATCCATTGCTAAAATGATTAATTAGGATGAACTGTGTCTCATTTTGATTCATAGCACAGGTTTGTGAATTCTAGTAAAATGACCAAGCATGTCTCCATTTACTTGACCAATGAACAAATGTAAATTACTAAAATTAAATAAAATGTATTAAGTATACTGTCTTCTTGTTAGGTATTATGGAGGAAAAGTCTCACCATTCATGAATCCTTGTATGAAGAACTCGGTATGTTTTGTCTCTTCATTAGAAAATCAATTGACAATGCATAAAATGCAAAAATCCTACATATTAATTATAACTTCATACATAAACATCAATCATTTCTTTGTGTGACATAAGAATGATTATGACTATGATAAACCACAAAACAAATTCCAGAGCTTATTCTGTCAAAGTAAATTCTCAATATTTTCTGTCAAGCTTAGTCCTGTTGAGATACTAACTGTTAAACTCTATTTCTAATTTGGCTGGAACCACTACCATGACTCTCAATGTTTACGCTTGCTTAAATATAGTTAGTTGAAGTTGAAACCTGTGCCCATGGCTAACAGCAATTTTAATCATACTGATCAACTGCCTCCCAAATCCAAAGACCAGGATCAGATTAACTCTATATTTTTTAAAACCAAATAAAAAAACAAAAGACAGAAGCAGAGTATATTGCCTATAGTCCTTCAGAGGTTACCAAATCTAGAGCTTTCTGAATGGCAGTCTAGTAGGGAGGATTTAGAATATATAGTTCATATATTAGATTATGCAAAGGAAGCATTTTTCTTGAATTTTTAATCCGATCAATCAAATATGCCTTTTCCATATAATGTGTGAACTAGATTCTTGCTTGTCAAAACATGGTTCTTGGCAGTATCACATGGGAGCACCTTAGAAAGGCAGAATCCCAGGTCCTATCCGACACATACTGAATTACATTCTGCTTTTTAATCAAATTCTCCAGGTAAATTCATATGTACAAGAAGTTTCGGAAACACTGGCCTAGATAATCTTCAACAAAAATATAAACTGTATTTTATGTAAATTTCTTAGAAATTTATGTTAATTGTGCATTTATTTCAATGAGTTTTGGAACTGTATTTCCATATCCCTTCTTAGTTAAAAGCATAAAGTCAGTTCAATATAATAATTAGAATGTTTGTACTAAACAAAACACAAGACACATTCAACTAACCATTATGCATGTTAAATTTTAAACAGAAATATACTTCAAAGGAAATTAATCTATATATTTTGAACTAATTTACACTTACATTTTTAAAGCACACTTTTGATGTCTATAAAGTTTCAAAAGTTTTAT